GTGTGTGTGCGTGTTTGCGTGTCAGTGGTGGCGGCTTGTTTAATGCACTGCAGGTTGGCTCCTGCAGCAGGTCTGGCCAGATAAGAGCAACACACAGCTTTCTGCTGGGAGGGAGAGAGAGAGAGAGAGAGGAACATCGCCTTTTCACTCCCATAAACCATTACGCTGTAATAATGGAGCAACCACCACTCAAACCTGGATCCATAGCGCCCCCTGTGGGTGATGGATGAGCACCCCCACTACAGAGTAAACCCACTCGTGCCAGTTAAATGCACCTACTATTTTCATTTGCAATGGATTGTACAAAGATGAGGGTTAGAAGGGTATGAAGGGAAGAACAAGAGAGAGGAGGAGTTAATAAACTACATGCATGTCCCATGTTGGAGTAGCTGTTGTTGCCTAATTCAGATTCTTTTAGCACTACATGCTTAAATGGTCCCCTTTCTTGCAACAGAACTGATACGTCATCAGGTGGCTAAAGGGGTTTTATATTTCTCTGTAAGAATTATTGTCCTTGAAGTGCAGAGAAGGATATGAAACAACATTTAGATCATATAAGGAGGTAAGGAGGAGTTATATAGGTTTTTCTGGAGAAATCTGGACTCATGGTCTGTTGATATAAAAGAAAATATGGCTAGGCCACTGCTTGGAGCCACCGTCTTATGGCAGGAAAAAACTAAACATTATTCAGAGTATGTTAATGACACCTCTCTGGGCTAGAGGAAACCTGACTTCAACCCCTGAATTACTGAATTGTTGTTCAAACACTGTGTTCAAAGTACAAGAAGAGCTGTCATCGGGTCATAACTGTCAGCTCCTGTGACATGTGTGTTGTCTGAGGCTGCAAGGGCCATAAACCCCAGTTTATCTTCCCCTACGTCAACAGAGAACGACTGATTGTGGGAGACAGGGAAATACAATAGGATCCATTTGCATTAAATGAGTCAATGTGTCAGTGTGAAATGTACAATCCGTTCCTGCTACTTTTTCTGTTTTTATTTTCCCCTCCTACACCACATGCAAATATGGGATCTGTTTTTATTCACATCAGGTTTGAGACACACACACACACACACACACAAAGACCCTGTATCATTCTCTCTCTGTCTCTAGTTTGTCATCAATGGGAGCCCACAGCCCAGCTGCTGCCAAACATTTACTGCACACAGCCAAGCCCGGCCTGGTCAAGTTACTGAATTGTCTCTATAGTGAGCAATTTTTCTCTCTTTACCCACTGTCTAAATCAGGGGTGCCCAAACTTTTCCCCTCGGAGGGCCAAAATGCGTTACTGGGCCGATGGCCAGGTGGGCGGCGGCGGCTGACATTTCACTCTTTGTACAAAGAACAGGAAGCAAATACAAAGCAAATGAATCTTTATTTAACAACAAATTATGTCCATATGCATGTCCATATTATTAGCAAACAGCAGCAGTTTGACACTATTAGTGAGACACATGAAGCTGGTCTTTGGCTTTGACCAGCCTCTCAATGTCAGGCTGAAGCTGACTAACTGAGAGGGTGAGAACGTCCTGCAGGTGTAGATCAGTCAGAGTGCTTCTGAGCCTGGTTTGTTAAGGTTCGTTACACTGAAAGTCTGTTCACAAATGTAGGTGCTGCCAAACAGAGATAACATCACCTGTGCATGCTTCCTAATGTTTGGGTACCGTTCTGGTGAGACGTGTGTAGAAGTCCTTCAGTTTCAGTGACATGAATTTATTCCTCAGCTTTAAATCGCACGGAAACTCAATCAGCTCCATCTGAACGTGATCAGGGACACAGTCCACACTTGTGCTGAAGGGTTGGGAAAACATATCACCTGAATTCTTCTTGAAGTCCTGAAAGCGCATTTCAAACTCCAGGTCTAGGTTGCTGACAAGTGTTGCATATTCAGACAGTTTCTGTTGTACCAGGTTTACCTCTCTCAGACTGGGGAAGTGAGCCAGGTTTCCTGAAAAGAAGTAAAAAGTAATTAATAAATCAATGCAATAAATATTACACAGTAGCTGCAGTTTTCTCTGAAAGGCCTTTATGTGGTCAAACATCTCCGTAATAATTAGCTGAGAGGCTGATCTGGGAGAAAGCTCTTGCCTGAGCGGGACACACTAGCTTTGCAGCCGTGGATAAGCATTCTTTAACAAAGTCCCCTGTAGAAAATGAACGTCCACTCCTGGCAATTAGAGCTGAAATCTCATAGCTGGCCTGTGTTGCGCTTTCCTGGGCTGACGAGGGTCGTGTGAGCGTGTTTTGTTGTGAGCAAAGTTTAGCTAACAACTCTCGGCTCTTTGTCTTCCGTGCCTCGCCTTTGAACCTTGAGAATGCTGCATGCCTTGTTTCATTTGGGCACCCCTGGTCTAAATGCATGACAGACAGATCAGAGCTCTGTTCCAGGCCTCATCTCCTGTATGGTCTGTGAAAAGCAAATCTCAGATGCAAATGTGATCTTACTACCCTTGTAAAAGCTTAAGAAACTGACCTGGAATGTGCCACAAGCAAAAAGTCTAAAAATGTTTTCAGCCCATTATTCTCAGTCCTTTTTGTCCAAAGAGCAGGTTCTTTTCAAATTGGCATGATGTTCTTAATGTCCTCTGATTCCTTCCACTCGCTAAAGGTTAGTACTGTCTGCAGTCACCTGTGGACAGACACTCCAGTGCTGTGGAAGGCGTCAGTGCTGCCTTCACCAACCCATGTGTGCATGGTAACCAGCTGCACCATCCTTTCCAGATCCTTTCCTGCCAAAAAATTGTGGCGGGGGGGGTGTAATGTGGTACAGGGAAATGTTTTTTCATGTGATTATATGTCACAGCTGACAACAAGGAGGCATGTTTTGCTACATCCTCCTGTCTGTCTGTCTCTCACAGAGCCAGCCAGCATGTTATGCTAATTGGAGAGATGTACTGAAAGCTCTGATGTGTTGCCCTTGTGTTGTGTTTGATTATGAATTTACTGTATTTGGTCTGTTTTTTAGGCACATCATTCTCTCAGCACTTGTTGCAGCTTTTTAGGCCATTTTCCTTCTCTTTAGAAACAAACTTTCTGTTCAGTTTATTTGGCGTGGTAAATGTCACTCATGCTTTTTCTCGGCTATTTTCCACCTCAGCTTTTTCTATTAGAAATAGTGATAGTTAATAGAAGTAGAACGCCTTTCCTCTTTCATGCTTAAACAGTAATGGTTATAAAAGTCATTGACAAGGCTGAGCAGATACAGTATTTTACAAATAGCATGCACGACAATAAACCTCTTGCTCAACCTTTTAAACTCTGCTGCTACCTAGTGGATTCTGATGCTTATTACACAACATGGATTTCATTTCATCAAGGTAGGAGAGAAAGATTTCCTTGTTGGAATTTAAATAATCAGTATTAGCTAAATGTTTTAAAGTAAACTTTTCAGTTCAGTTCAGTTTTATTTGTATAGCACCAAATCACAACAAAAGTCATCTCAGGACACTTTACAAAGTAAGGTCCAGACTGTGAGGAAAGTTCTTTTATTTTGAAAAGAGAAGACTAATAAAAAGATATATATTTCACTATGTAAAACTTATTAGACATTAACGTATCAAAACAAACATGTGGACATGGATCTTCACTGTTTAGGATAAACAGGAAAGACTGGCCTCAACCTGTCGGTATACAATATTTGTATGAAAAGATGTTACTATCTGATTGGTCAAAAACTGTTGGTGAGAAGTCGTGGTTTAAACTTAACTCTCCCAATATTGGTCCTTCAGTCCGTCCGTCCTCCAATCATCCTCTCTGCTCCAATGGTCGTGGACAGCGCCCTAAAAGGGGGGGAATACCTACCCTTTCTTAATTTCTACATAGACACTTACGTCTTCCTTTGTTTCAAACTAACTGCTAGATTTCAAGCATTGCTATCCAATAAAACTGCTCTGCCTGTGTGTGTGTATATTGCCCTGACTTTGAAGTTGTCTACCTCTTCCTGACTTTTAGATCTAGTCTCTTGTTTATTACCCTTGGTGTCCCAGTGACCCCAAATTCCCCTGGCCTCTTCAGCCAGGTGGTGATAATAAATTAACTGTGGACCCTCTTTGCTAAAGCTGTAAATCTAATGAGAGTCAGTGTTTTAGTGAACCAGTCCCCTTGATGTTAAACAGTGCTCCAGTTGGCTAACACAGTAAATACTGACCAGTGATTCAGTGAACACATAGGGTGATATATAGATATGTAACTACATAAACATAAACATAAACGTGAGATTAAAGTATATAGACTTATGTCTGCTATATAATAAAAACCCTAACTAATTATATTCATTTCTATCTAAAAATGAAAATCACCCTAACAAGACCTTACTGTTATTACTATTATTACAGAGGGAAAACCCAACAAATCCCTCTTGAGCAAGCACTTGGTGACAGTGGGGAGGAAAAACTCTCTTTAACGGAAGAAACCTCCGACAGACCCCGGCTCTTGGTGGGCGGCCTTCTGCCTCAACCGGTTGGGGTGAGTGGATGGAGGAGAGAGGAGACAGAGGGGAGGGGAAGAGAAAGGTAGAGAGGGTGTCCGCCTCCCAAACTGAGACTGGGAGTTGGTGCCATAGGAGAGGAGCTTGATAGCTAAAGACTCTGCCTCCCATTCTACTTCTGTGGACTCTAGGAACCACAAGTAAACCTGCACTGTGAGAGCGAAGTGCTCTGTTAGGATGATAAGGCTCTATGAGGTCTTTAAGATACTGAATGACCTACAGTATATGTTAAGCATGTGGATGGCCACTTGTATATGATATTTTATTAAACTGATTCTGAAAAGAAACTAAAGTAGCCTCTAAAAGTAGCATGACACACCAATAAATGGAAATAGTCATGTAAAGTATAAAATCACTCAAAACTATATTTAAGTACAGTACTTGAGTAAATGTTCTTAGTTACCTTCCACCACTACACCTAAATGCACACTCTGGCTTTATTGTATAATGTGACCCCTTTATTTTCCATTATAAATATTGTTCTTTTAAAATAATTTTTTTAAAGTCTCATGTGTATTTACAATGAAAACACTTTATTTATCATGTTGTATCATTTCATTTAAAATAAACAGACCAGTAAAAAGGGAACAATACAGATTCAAATGCATATCATACCACTTGTGGTTTGAACCAGCACACATATTGATCGAATGGCTTTTTAATCAAGAGTCCTTCCTGTAAATCATAAACACAGCATCATTCATCATTACACCTTCTATTCAATCACAGTAAATATGAACACAAAAAGCATAGGTCTACAGTAGAGTGGTGCCATATTGGGATGGCGGGAGGTTAAGATAAACTATCAAAACAGCACTTGCATGCACGGTTTATTGTCTACACAGCCTCGATTAAAAGAGAGCGTTACAGGACATCAGAAGCACTGGGAGGAAACAGAAACTTTTCTCTAGGACTGTGCAACTCGGTTCAATAACAAAAGTCTATGTTAAAAGCTTTGCATTACACATTGTTACAGAAGTTGTCCTTCAGTATGTGCTCCTTGGACATACAAAATAGTCAGCTATTAGAAAGCACATGGCACATATAACAGCTAAGAACTCTTTAAGTGATATAAGAGCAATTATATGATAATAATAATATAGCAATAGGTGCAGTCTTCCTTCTCTACATGTCTCTTTCCCATCTGTGATACAGTGTATTTTACAAACAGATCAGTTACATTTGTATGATGAATTAACTGTATATGGCACTTCAATAACACTACTTAACAGATGTCAATGACTGAGTAAATACAGAAGAAAATAAATAAAGGTTTGATATCTGCTCATCCAGTTTGAAGGCAGTTTCAGTTTTAGCACTAGAGTTGTTGCTCATAAATGAAAGTGTGCTGCTGCAGATACACCCAAACTCACCAAGGAGGAGACACAATTTTAGTTTTTTTGAGTCAATATTCCTTTGTTTCTCTGAACTCAGTGAGAATATTTAGCTCTGCTGAGAATTTCTGACAGTGAGGAGGGAAAACTTTGATAACCATATCTGATGTTACTAAATTTTGTCACCTTGCTACTGAACACCTTTTAATGCTGATTATGTATAGTAAATGTATTACAACATGTTTTTTTCAAGTATTTGCTCAACTTTCATCCATGTTCTTACCCCCTCTCTCACACTTTTAATGTTTTTTAATAAGTCATTCATAAATCAAACCCTCTGAGAGAGAATGAGGAAAATTGAATCTACAGTAAAATGGATCTCAGTGATTCTCTTCTCTCTTGTTCACACTAAACATGAAAAATGACATGAAAGTTCTCAGCTGTAATCCATCCTCTGCTTATCTCTAGTGTGGCTCTAAAACAAGTCTAATCAATAAGCAAATAGCAGGCCAATCATGAAGGAGAATCTGAGGATAGACTTTAAGATATTTGGATTGTACAAGGAAATGAGGTGTATGTCTAACTGAAAAACGAGCTAGATGTTTCAGTAAGATGGTTTCAAAAGATGAGAGTGCCATGCTCTTAAAAATATGTTTAAAGAAATCAGTTGATGGCCCACAGATTTGAGCGATGGTTACCCTGGGAAACAGGACTGCAGCTCTCTAAATACATGTTTTGTTGAGGTCAAGTTTCACCGGCAGTGGCCCTGCCTCCTGGCTCTCCTCTGATTGTTTCACAGGGACAGCGATCACAGGACTCAAGTGGTACGGGTTGACCTTGTGGGCATTGTCCAGAAAGTCTTTATCTCCATTTATACTTAGCTGAAAAGAAACGAAGAGGATAAAAGTGAGAAACATGAGAAATCCTGCAGGACCAAAATGAGAATGAGACCAAAATGTGAATGAAAGAAAAAAAAAAACAACAGTTGGTTTGAAGCCTTTCCATGGTTGCGAGCACTGACAGTTCCTGAAGGGTGTGCAATATGTGCTGTTGTAAGTGAAGCTCCTTGTTCAGACCTGGTGGTTTATGATGAAGAGGATGCACAGATGATGCTGTGGTAATCCAGAGTCCTTACTTCAGATATAAGATTGATGGGAACAGACAGTTCCGAGTGATTTAGATGGTGTAAGGAGGATAGAGAAGTCTAATGGTTTTTCATGGATGTGTGGGAACAAGGTTTGTGCTGATTTTTACTGCATAAACTAAGAAACTGTGCAGAATATTGTAATATGTGTTGTAACCGACTAACAGCCTGGCAGCACAAGATTTAAACAAGGTAACCACAATAAACACCTTCAGGTTACTTTAAAGGACGTACAGTAAACAGCTGAAAAGAAGTGTCATAACACAGCATTACATGTGGATGAGACAGGCTGGCAAGAATCAAGCATTTGTCATTACTCTCCTGCCAAACTTGAAATCAAAGTGGAAACTCTTTTCCAGTGTGTTTGGTCATCTGCTGGATGAGGAATAATGAACGCAAGCAAAACATTAATGAAAGGATTGTTGGAGAGGTCCATAAGACCTGTGTTTTGACGTGCTGCTCCGGTGCTGTGACGAGGCTGGCGCAGCTGAGCCACAACATGACCATGATGGACAGGAAGAGACAGGCTGCTAAAATCCACCGTGGAAGGCCTGAACGTCTGGAAAACATGTGGAAGAAAGAGATGACAGCATGACTTATAAAACGAGGAAGAAGATGGAACAAAACAACTGCACCTGAAGTAGTTATTAAATATAGAACTGCCATGAATGTAAACAGGTGTGTGAACAGTACCTTTACACACAGTCATTATACACCACAAATCAAAATTAATTGGAATTCATTTTCAAAAGCACAAAATAGTTAATAGTATGGGTTTAAAAGCAGCTACCTGTTAAAGTCGCTTGGATTTCCCTTTCTCCCCTTTCCCTCTCTCTCTCCTCTTGTTTTGTTTTTCTCTCTTGCAGGCAGGTGAGAGCTCGGAGGTGATTGGAAGCAGCTGCAGCTCATCAGCTCATCTTCCACAAAGCTATATAACCTCCAGGCTAGCGCCCACTCTTTGCCAGTATGTTTTGAAACCTATTCCTGTGAATTCTGGCTCGTTGAGCTTCCCCCCAATCGGTACCTGAGACGCTACGATAAACTGCCTGCCAGCTACGGAGCGAGAGCCCGACGCTGTTCATTACTTGCTTGCTCGCAAAGGAGTATGCAACCAAGTCGTTCGCCAACCATGCAGTGAGTAATCAATCTGCAGTGAAGCTGTATTCATATCCTTGACTATAGACGCCAAATATTGTTCTGCCTGCCTGCACCCTGTCCTCTAGCCCTTGAGCCCTGCCTCTCTACTGTGCACCTCGAACCACTGGTCCAGCTGTCCTGAGTCATTCTCTGCCTAGCTTGACTACTGTGTGACTCCGTTGAATAAACATTTTCTGTTCGTCTGGCTCCACCAGGCCCTAACAGAACATACTGGCTTCATGGACTCTGCTGGTGCTAATCCGGAGTCATCCACCATCCAGTCCACCTTTGCTGGTTATGGGGTCCTGCTGGGTCACCTTGACACTTCTCAACCACTGCAAGCAGAGGCCCCCTCGGCCACTGACACAGCAAGTAGCCCAGCTATCTACTCACTTAGCCACACTTACCTCCCTGACCATCCCTGCAGCTACTCCTCAGTTGACACCCTTTGTGCCGCCCCCACCCAGTCCAGCTCCCAATCTAACCCATGATGCAAGCATCCCAGACCCAGAGCCTTTCCAGGGAGACCTAGATAAATGCCGGGGGTTTATTCTACAATGCAGAATGGTGCTTGACCAGAAGCCCTCATCATTCCAATCAGAACAGGCCAAAGTGTTCTATATCATTAGCCTGTTACGAGGACGGGCACTGGCCTGGGCTGAAGCTGCCTACTCACAAGGAGGCCTACGGGGTGCATCCATTAATCATTTCTTAGCGGAACTGCGGAGAGTGTTTGACCATCCCGATCATGCAGGTAATGCTGCCAGACGTCTGCTGGCCATCAAACAAGGCACTCACAGTGTTGCTGAATATGCAGTAGATTTTCGTATTCTGGGGGCCGATACTGCATGGAATGACGTGGCCCTGCGTGGGGCATTTTGGAGCGGGCTGGGTGAGTCCGTCAAGGATGCGCTCGCAACCCGAGATGAACCCGTGAACCTGGATGCTCTAATCTCCTCGGCGATCCAGGTAGATAACCACCTACGGGAGCGCCGCCGTGAACGGGCAGTTTGGCCAGGAGTTCCTCACATCACCAACACCGGTCCCAGTGTAGTTGGAACCCCTCGCCCTTTAGCTGCGCTCCCTGCCCATGTCCCTGCACCCTCCTCCTGTACCGAAAAGCCAATGCAGTTAGGCTGGGCCTCACTCGCACCAAGAGAACGGATCCGCCGCCTGCGCATGGGCTCCTGCCTCTACTGTGGACAGTTGGGCCACCTGATTTCTGTTTGTCCACTTCGACCAAAAGATTGCCAATACCCCCACACTTATTGGCGGGTCACTCAGATAACCCTGATGAATCAACTAGTCTGCGGCTTCCAGTCGTCTTGGGCATCAGGCAGGAGCACATCCCCTTTACAGTCCTTATCGACTCAGGGGGCTGGAGACAACTCCTTGGCTCATGAACTAGCAGCTCAACTGAAATTGACCACAGAACCCATTGACAGACCCATGATCACCAATGCCTTACACAGACGGCCCAAGCAGCACGGATGCAGGGGGTTCCTGTTGGGGTCGCTCAGATTTCCCTTTCTCCCCTTCCCCCTTTCTCTCCTTTTGTTTTCTCTCTTGCAAGCAGGTGAGGGCTCGAGGTGATTCAGTACCTGTGATGCTACGATAAACTGCCTGCCAGCTACGGAGCGAGAGCCCGGCGCTGTTGATTACCTGCTTGCTTGCAACAGAGTACGCAACAAGGTTGCTCGCCAACCTGCAGTGAGGCTATAGACACCGAATATCGCTCTGCCTGCCAGCGCCTTGCCTCTCTAGTGTGCACATCGAACCACCGGTCCAGCTGACCGGAGTCATCCTCTGCTTAGCTTGACTACTGTGTGACTCTGTTGAATAAACTCAGTTTTTCTGTTTGTCACCAGCATTTTGAGTCTAAATTTATAGTGCACTCTCTCAGGGTTCCACCAGGCCCTAACACTACCAGAGATCATCCATCTCAATGTCTTTTTTTTTTTTCCAAATTGGTGTCTTGGCAAAGGAAGGCAGATTGAGATGTATTCATCACCGGATAACAAAACAATACCGCAACTCTGACCGCAATAAAAGCAGACGTGATCATCATTGTGATGGAGCTATCTTGGACGAACATTACGTTCCGGCAGGTTGATTTTCATACTGACATTAAACTGCCTGAAGGGAAAGAAATCAGACTATGAAACTTGTTTCATTTTTTACAAAATGACTAATGTAAAGGATGTTTAATTGAGAAAACAGTTTAACGCTTTCACTCCCATTAGGATAAGTCTGGCCTTACCTCGACATGCAGCCCAGGAAGTCGTGCTCAGCTGTGGGGTCATCTGTGTGCTGGACAGGGTGCTTCCCCTTGCCTCCTGCTTTGGGTACACCTTTCTCTCCATGCCCCCTCACACCTGTGGCACAGTTGCTAAGTTTGAGTCACCTAATGGAGGGAATACTGCAGCAACATGCATGTGCTGCCTGTTGTATGCACATTCTCACCATGAGGTCTCTGGGTGTGAGAGTGGACCTGAGGCCAGGGTTTGTCCACCACATTGGATCGAGAAGCCTGCAGCTCAGGCAGAGAGTATTCCAGCTCTGGTTGGCTCTGAGAGGAAGTAAAAATAGACACTCAGCTGCAAATTCACACAATTTGCCTGCAGAACTGACAGGACTCTAACACTGCTAGGTTGCACCACAGATCCATATCAATATCCAGCTAAGGCTATTCCATCTTTTCACCCTGAGAAGCTCTCTTGCTGCTTTGACTTTGTGTTTAGGATCCCTGTCTTGCTGAATAAAACACTGGCCAATGTGTTTTGATGTATTTGGATGAATCTGAGCCCATGGAGTGCTCCTGTTTACATCTCCATTCATCTTACTGTTTGCCAACAGTGAACTCATCAATAAAAGCCACTGTGCCAGTCCCATTGGCAGCCATACATGCCCATGTCATAACAGAAACACCAGAGTGTTTGACAGATGTGCTGCTGTGCTTTGGGTCATGTGTTGCTTATTTACACACTTCCCTTTTTCAATCTAGGTTGATTTTTGTTTAACCAGTCCAAGGAACTTTGTTCCAGTTTCTTTTCATTTTGAACTGTAAACTGATCTTTCTGTTATTTGAGGCCTACCAGACATTTGCAGTTCTGGTCATGAAGTCGTCTCTTGACCACTGACAAGGAAACATGAATGCCTACATCCTGAAGAGAACTGAGTCACTGTGCAGTCACAAAGGGGTTTTTCAACTACATTAAATGGCAACTCTCTGTCATATCTTAGATTAGATTAGAAAATCTTTATTAGTCCCACAGGGGGGACTAATAATCTATCTGACTGAGAACTAACTTTCAAAAAGTTACCAAGAACCAATTAGTTGTAAAGTGTCCAGTTACTTTTGAAGTTTTGGCACAATGTGTTAAACAGGTGATATCTCACACAGTTCTTCCTGTACTTATGTAATCATACTCAAATTAAATCTGAGACTTGGCACTGTAATATAGCATTTGATTTCAAATGGAATGTGCTGAAGCACAGAGTAAAAAAAGGAGTAACTGTCCAAATATTTACAGTATGATTAGGACTGTAATTTATACAGTAGCGCAAATAGCCATAAGCTTTAGAGGAAAACTTCCAGATTTTAGAAGACACATTTATTGGCTTTATTCCTGATGGCCAGGTAAGAGGACTGATACCACTCCTATGATTGTCCATTAACTATAGAGTTGGAGCTATGAGGGAGTTAGCCTGGCTTAGCATAAAGATGAAGCGGAGACAAAACAAAACCCCAAATGTAAAACCAAGTAACAATACATATGAAGAGAAATGTCTATCAGATCATATTGTTAACCATAGCAAAATGAGATGTGTTTTCATGTCATTTGGAGCATGGAAGATGGTGTGTAAACCAATGATTTTTACCATATCATCCAGACTGTTCGATGTGTCCTGGTGTCCCTCACTGTATTTTTTTCACCCACCCTAATTAGTTAAGTAAAACCCCTTGAATTGGGACAGCACCTCTGAAAAATTACTTTTAAACCTCCTGCTACACACACACATAATACCCACAGCCTATTGTCAGTATTTGCACTGTTGTGTGTTTCTTTATGTGTTCTGTACTTCTTGTTCCCCTGGAGAACTCATTAAAAGGGGATTTTGGTTTCCCACTACTGAACTCCCTCCACTACAACAGCAGCTGTAGTTGGCTGTAACAATACTATTACTGGCCTCAGTTACTACACACACACACACACACACAGAGTCACCTATTTATAACAGTGCAGTATAACCCGCTGCAGTAGTGTCAGCCTCCCAGTATTTATTGATTCTGACACTTAACCAGATCAATGAACTTTGAAACCTCTTGTTTTACTGTGAAACCAGCTAAATTCATTCACAGTTTCATAACTTCTCATTACTTGATTTAGGAAATGATTGATGTATATTCTCCTGAATGATTTCAATCACATGTCCCAAACAACAAGAGCATACTGTATGTGACTGTGGAGACATGGCTGGTCTCTTAGTTTGCTTCCCAAAACACTTAAAATCCTTCAAACCTCTGCTGCTGAAAAATGATTTCGTTTGATTTCAGACAGCCTGACAAACTACACTGAAACCAGAAGCAGCACTAGTGCAAGGTTTGGGGAAAGGCAATGGTAGATGTGAGGGGAATGATTCTAACTGGCTGCAGACTGAAGAGATCATCTGCATGACAGGAGCATGAGCTGCAGCTGTCTTGCATTATGAGGAGTGCAAAGGCACCCCCTACCTGTAGAGAGCGAGAGAGGTTTGAGAGTTCAGAAGCATCTCAGCCATAAAGAGACCAATGTTTTAAGGAGGAGGAGTAGTGGATACAATTAATACAAAGACTGTTATGCCACTTATATTTTTTGATTGTGGAACTGGTCACAGTCTGTTTCTGCTCTTTTTCATAACAGGAGGTCAACAAATTATTGTAATGACTCTTAGTTACAATTACATACAGTCTGAATTCCCTTTATATATTTGTAAAAGTAAATGTAAATTGGGCTTTTTGTCAAGCAACAACTAAAAAGTATTGTCATTGTGTTGAAAGCCTCGTGTACTGTACCTCCACTGTTGTTGAAAAGCTGTGAAAAACACATCAGTGAGCCACACTGTCCATTTGGTGATATGTTGCTTCATTACCATGAACGCAGGCACTAGAGTCATTAAACACACAAACCGTCCAGCTGCCATTAACACCGATTAGTGCACCAAATGTGGATTAATCTCGAGCAAATGCATTATTTACTCCTGGCTACAGTGTCCATTTGTGTAAAGGAAATGACTGAGCTTTATTCAAAAATGAAAACAAAAAAACATTTGACCCAGTTTTAAAGTTATAATGTAGGCTGTGTCTTTAGTAGGAGCAAATTGGCTTGGGGCAGACAAATTGGGGAAATCAGAGTATTGACACACGGTGGCTAGTTTTTATAAAGCACCCAGCTTTATCCTTTAAACTTAACATAGACTATAATATATAAACTGCAATATCATGAAGCACAAATGTTTTTACTGTTATGAATATACCTCTATTTTAAGTCTTTATTTAGACAGGGTAGGGTCTCTGATGGGCCGCCTCTCTACCTGAACATCCTGATCACATTCACACCTGAAGCTGCTCAGTACAACCTGTGGCCAATGAGCAGCTACACTGGGGCTGCTGGGGGTTAAGGGTCCTGGTCAAGGGCACCACAATGATATTAATGAGGTTGGGGCAAGCATGGTATTGTCACAAGCCTGCTCATAAAGTATATACACAGTATGTAATGTTCACGCTTTAGTCACATCAGTCTCTTGCGCTTAGATGAGTAAACTAAGCTGCAACTACACTGACGTTTATTTCAGCATCATAAATCAGTGTCATGCTTGCTTCAAACACTGTTACATTAGCAGTTTGCTCTGTTTCATTAAGATTTTAGTTAATTTAAAATCCATGGATGGATGGATGGAAATCAGCAAGAAGAAATGTGGGCTTCAGTAGTTTCATTAGTTCTGCAGGCCAGCTCGCTAACACACTACAACTCTGGACGTTTCTCTTAACTTGATGTCACCAAAACACACAGCTGGATGAATACCAATCAGCTTATTATAGATATCACATAATTTGTACTGCAAGCAGCCTTGGCTTGTTAGCCCCCCCCCCCCCCCCCCCCCCT